AGGCAACGGTGACGGAAACTGGAGCACGTTGCTTTTCAGTTGCACAGAAAGCATTAGCTCTGTCTCAGATGATGATCTGCAGCTAGCATAAGCCCGTGTAATGCGCCGTTTATGTTTTATAAAGAGGTCCGTGGAGATGACATAAGCTGATATGATTTTTATGCAGCATATAATATTGCGAATTGGAATTTATCATGTAAATCATGAAGAAATATATCATACGCAACGTATACAATTTAATATTAATGTATAAATTTTTTTTTTAATATTTATTAATATATATAAATATTTTTTAAAATATTTATTAAAATAAATATAAAATTTTTTAAAACATTAAGCATTAAATAGACGTGAGAAGTAAACGCGGATAAAAATTTTAGGACTATAAAAACATGAGAAAATATATTTAATAATTTCTGACTATAATACATATATCCTGGATATAATATATATAATTTTTTGGTTTTGTGAAATATCTAAAATTCAAGAGACATTATCAGAATAATCTTATATATTCGTTTTAATTGAGATTATTTAATTGGCATTATTTCATTGTGACGTTTATTTTTTGATATATCTAGCAAAGATATATATATGTAGAGAGATGTCAGTCTGATTTATTCCCCCTTATTTATTTGCAATAAATTATGTTAACTAATCTGACGATAGCTTTCGCGATTTTAACTATGCAAATGTCAACGAGCGACAGGACTTTGCATGAGGTTTAATCGGCAGGAAAATGAGTATTTCGTCGATCACGAATGTATTCTCGAGGATTCTCACTCTATCATGATTCTATATTATCTTTATGGTCACTGAAGATACGTGTTATATGCTGTGTGGTCGGTTTCTACGAAAAAATCATTACTCACCTCGACAGCAAGTATATATTAACATCGTATTGTTGCAAATGATAGAAAATTATCCACGAAAGAAAATCCTACTCGCCTTTCTCTCTTCGAGTATAGGAGAGACATTAAATAAATGAGCCTCGATCGGATTAAATTTCGTTATCTAATCGCGCTGATATCTGTCATTAAATAATATTAAATCGATATTAATGCATAAATCCGTTTATAAAATTTAGATAGTTTATTTTTGTGAATAGAGGGAATAGAAGAGGAGCTAGAGGAAAAAATAGGAAGGATAGAAGAGGAATTGAGAGAAGGAGAAAAAGAGAGTGGAGAAGGAAAAAAGAAAGGGTGGTGTGATGAGGAATGTGAGGAGAAGAGGAAAGAAGTGAGGAGAAAGCTAAGGGAATGGAGGAAGAAAGGAGGAGGAGGAGAAGGATACAGAAAAGAAAGGGCAGAATATAAGCTAATGTGTAAAGGAAAAAGGGAGGAGGAGAGGATAAGATGGTACAAGGAAGCGATAGAGGCAAGAACAGAAGGAGAGGTATGGAAAATTATAAACAGGGAAAGGAAGAAGAGAGAAGGAGTGAATGAGGAGATAAAAGCGGAGGAGTGGAAGGAATATTTCATGGACTTATTGGGAGGGGTAGAGGTTAAAGTTGTAAGAGGAGGAAAAGAGAAAAGGGAGAGGCATGAGGAGCAGGAGATAAGCAGGGGGGAAGTAAAGAGGATATTGGGAAAATTGAAGAAAGGAAAAGCAGCGGGGGAGGATGGGATACCGAGTGAGGTATGGAAATATGGAGGAGAGAGGGTAGAAGAGTGGGTATGGGAAATGTGCAACAGAGTCTGGAGAGGGGAAGGATGGCCGGAGAGGTGGAAAGAGGGGATAATAGTACCACTGTTAAAAAGGGAACGGGAAATAGGGTGGAAAACTACAGAGGGGTGACTTTGATGCCAACGTTATATAAGGTGTATGTGGGGATTCTAACAGAAAGGTTAAAGGAGGAAATAGAGAGGGGGAATATGTTGCCGGAGAGTCAAACAGGCTTTAGGAAGGGAATGGGGGTGATTGACAGTATATATGTGCTAAACTACCTGATCAATAAAAAAGTGAAGAAGAAGGGAGGTAAGGTAGTAGCGGCCTTCATAGATCTGAAGGCGGCGTTTGACTCAGTGGATAGGGAGGTGTTAATGGAGGCGATGAGGAAGAGGGGGGTAAGAGAAGGGTTAAGTAGTAGGATAGAAGAGGTATACAAGGAAACGAGGAGTAAAGTAAGAGCGGGGAAGGAGGAAGGAGAAAACTTCTGGACGGCAAGGGGTGTGAGGCAAGGTTGTCCAATGAGCCCACACTTGTTCAATTTGTTGATAGCGGATATAGAGGAAGTGCTGAAAAAGGAGGCTGGGGAGGAGTAAAGTTGGGAGGGGAAAAAGTGCACTGCTTGGCATATGCGGATGACATGGTGTTGTTGGCGGAGGAGGAGGAGGGGATGATACATATGTTGGGGAAAATGGAAAATTACATGGATAAAAAAAAGGCTAGAGGTAAATGTGGATAAGATAAAACGTATACCCATGATAGTATTTTTCTCGTACAAAAATAATTAGAGTAAATTAAATTAATCATAAAAGATTAAAAATTAATTAAAGAATTTAAACTTATATTTTATATAATAATAATAAAACATTTTATTACGTCAAACCGTCGTGAAATAATTAAATAAAATTTGCTAGTTACGTCGAAGTCAAGTTTTCTAAGCTTATAAAACATTTTATTAAAAAACAGATTCAATAAATATAAGTACATGTTATATATATACTTATATTTATTGAATCTGTTTTTTTTATAAAATGTTTTATTATTATCATATAAAATATAAATTATTTAATTATTTTTTTATTTTTTTATGAGTAATTTAATTTATTCTAGTTATTTTTGTACGAGAAAAATACTATCACGGGTATACGTTTTATAACGAATTAAATATATTTATAAGAGTTTTAACAAGGCTCTGTAATATAAATATAAATTTAACGTATAAGACGGGCAACAAGAGCCAAATCGCGGATGACAATGCGTTATCCTAACGAAACTAAATAATTTTTCGTTAGAATTAAATACCGGTGCACAAGGCACCAAATTTTTTTTTTTTTTTTTTTTTTTATTTTTATTAAAGGGGGGTTAAAGGGGTATTGAAATTAAATCTCAAAATATGAGATTATTTCATATTTAAAATCTTGGCCGTGTCCAAGTAAAAAAATTTGGTGCCTTGTGCACCGGTATTTAATTCTATCGAAAAATTATTTAGTTTCGTTAGGATAACGCATTGTCATCCGCGATTTGGCTCTTGTTGCCCGTCTTATACGTTAAATTTATATTTATATTACAGAGCCTTGTTAAAACTCTTATATTTGATACACGCTGGCTTAAAAAATGCGTTTCTTTACCAACATTAATATATATAACAGAGAAAAGTATAGAATCGAAAGGATCTGAATAGCTCAGCTGGAAGAGCAGTCGCCCGGCAAGCGAAAGTTCTCGGGTTCGATTCCCGATTCAGCGATTTTCGGATCTATATTTTTCTCTTGCATTCATTTATTTATTTTCCGTAGGGGGTTAAAGGGGTATTGAAATTAAATCTCAAAATATGAGATTATTTCATATTTAAAATCTTGGCCGTGTCCAAGTAAAAAAATTTGGTGCCTTGTGCATCGGTATTTAATTCTAACGAAAAATTATTTAGTTTTGTTAGGATAACGCATTGTCATCCGCGATTTGGCTCTTGTTGCCCGTCTTATACGTTAAATATATTTATGTTCAAAAATTATATTTGACCTTTAATTTTAATTTTGTATTTTATTAAAATTAATAATTAACATATATACTTAATTGCGATTTATATGGATGAACAAAATCCCTATTATGTGTGTAAGAGATTTCGGAACTCTTTGCTAAAATAATTAAAATTAAAAGTCAAATATAATTTTTGAACACTTTTATATTATTAAAAATATATAATTCGACTCTCGAAATATATTAATTCATTATAAAACGTATACGTATTAGTATTTTTCACATATTAAAATGATTAGAATAAATTAAATTAATTATTAAAAAACTAAAAATTAATTAAACGACTTAGACTTAGATGATAATAATAATGAAACATTTATTAAAAAATAATTATAATAGGTCAGGTTAATATTTTATTTATTTATTTATTTATTTATTTATAACATCATAAAATTCTGTCCTTTCCGAAATACGCGAACGCTACGAAAAGATAAATCTCGTACATGCCGCCGGACGAGTTCATGAGCATGAGACGCTCTTATCTTGGGAACGTATTAATAGTTACTGCATTGACCACTACTACGATATGGCGCTGAAATCAGTGAGAAATACTGGTCTCTCCTTCATCCAGACCTTTGGCGATCTGTCTATTAATCTGTGGCGCTACTATATATTAAAAATGTTTTATTATTTCGATAAATATATATGTTTCCATTTGTCGTTCATTTCTAATTTTAATAAAAAAATATATTGATTGATTTTTATACTTTTCTCCAACTTTTGCTGTAACACAAAAATCAAATAAATTTATCGCAATGTGTGTATATAAATTCACAGATAGTATATATACATATATAGATATATATATCTGTGTTAACAATTACGTGTTATATGCAAATAATATTCGAATGTTGAATAGTTGCGAATTTTATAAATATATTCTAAATTAGCGCCAATTGTTATTCGAGTTTTATCTTTTATTGTTAGCAGCTCATTTCAGTAAATTCATTTTCAGTAAATTTGTATATTTTAGTATCTTAAACAAAATTTTTTTATCGATCCAAGGCACAGTCTACAATAAGTCATTAATCGTTGATCAACAATTAATGACTTATTGTAGACCTTAATTATTTTGATCATAAAGAACGTTGTATAAACGTAAGTCATATAATTATGACTTACGACTTAGAACACATCTAATCAATGATTAATGACTCATTGAAGACTGGGCTTAAAAAATACTACGCCACAACGCCACTAGCGCGCCACATTCCATTCTCCCATTCCTCCCACCACTCGCTTTATCCCCACCACCGCTTCATCCCCACTCCTCCCCATCGCGAGCTGAGCTGCGCATAAGAAGGCGCATTTTATATACAGCAGACTAGAGCAGAGGACGCAGAGGTTGTAAAACTTGTAACGAATGTTGTGAGAAATGCTAGGATATTGTGGTTATGTTATGTACTGTCCGCATTCTGAATTATCGTAACGCGAACAAAAGACAAAAATAAGTGACTGATGAAACATACTGCAATCTACAATTGATAGATTTTTTATATTCGCAAAAATGTCGCGTCGATTTAGTCCCAGAGGAAAGTTAAATTCCTTTGCACGACGTAATAGAGAAGGTAAATAATTATTTTGATCAACATCGTTTTTATTTTCGTGTTTTATTTGGTTTTTTAAGCAAATGTGCTTCATATCTCTTTTAATTTTTAATATATACGAATATCGATACACTATATATAGATATATATACTTTGAAAAATAATGTATGAAATAAACCAAAAGCCGAAAGAGATCGATTTCATAGATATACATATATATGTTTTATCACATTTATTAATATAAATTCTGTGGTTAACAAAATCTCTTCATATTAAGAATTACTTGCAAATGATTTTCTCATTGGATCTTTATTAAATAATTTATTAAATTATATATTCCTCTTTCTAATGTTCAATAAATATCCTATTTTTCGAAGAAAGCTATTTATTTTTGTAAAATTAAATTTTTTCTTGCACCAAAGAGATTTTCTTATTATTAGTTATAACTTGACTATTATCAAATTATTGTATCAGTTAACAAAGTATATATTTTTTATTATATATATGTACTAAAGTCAGTTTGCTTATATCTATAAAATTTGAAATAAATTTTAGTTTTTATCTTTTAGATTTCGAATATAAAATATTGAGTAGTTGAATCTCAAATAAAGTTTATGTCTCAAAGTGTATGTTTAACCTAATTTTCCAATTTTTACATCTTTTCACTTTTGAATACTTTTACTTAGAATACCAATAATGTTTCAACTATGCAACAATTGTTATTATTTTGCTTCAGAATATCGATATTCTTATAAGGAAGTAAAATATGTTTGAAATAAAGTTTATGTGTTTTTTAGAACAACCAATGCAATCGTCTACATCTGGATATGGAGGCTTGCACTCACAAATGCGAAGACCTCCTCCTGGACTTCGTGGAAAGGAAATAGGACTATTTTATAGAAACTTAAACAGAGAGAAAAACAAGAAAAAATCCGCAGTTTATAAATTATCACCTCACATAGAACAAAAAATTAAGATTGTTTTAAGTAATTCTAAGAGCTTTTACAGTTCAATTCTTGATGAAACATCTAATTCTGAATATGACAACAAATATAATCATATTCATGATTCTCAATTTAAAAGAAATTTTTTAGAAATTATAAATGGTGATATAGAGCACAATATTGCCAAAGCTATGAGTATGGGATCGTCAAAATTGCAAAGAAATAGTCATATGGACAGAATATTACTAAATGAATATATAGATAAGCAAACTCAAGATGATTATATAAATATGTCAAAATTTCGATCAAAATTACCAGCATATCATAAGAAATCAGAAATATTACAATTGATTAAAGATAATCAAGTTGTTGTTGTTAGTGGAGAAACTGGTAAGTTGCAAAAGTTTACCAATGAGATAAAATATTTTTATGAGCCTTTAGCTGCATTTATGTGAATGCAGTGTGGAATTAAAAAATAAAAGAAATTTTGCAAAAGTCTTTGGCAAAACTTTTATTTGCTCATAATTAAATTTTCTATTTAGATTAATAATTAAATTTCTCAATAATAATTGTTTTTTTAAATAACAAATTTTAGGATGTGGCAAAACCACGCAGGTAGCACAATTTATATTGGATGATCAATTAGAAGCTGAAAATGGTAGTATTACTCGAATAATTTGTACACAGCCTAGAAGAATTTCAGCTATTTCTGTTGCTGAACGTGTAGCTATGGAAGAGCGGAAAAACTTGGGAAATCCGTGGGCTATCAGATACGACTCGAAAAGTATATTTATATGAGAATAATGTATATGATATTTTATAAAGATAAATATAAGATTTCTTATATTGATTTCTTTTACTTACAGAACTCCAATGCGGGAGCAAGGAAGTATATTATTTTGCACAACTGGTATATTACTACAAATTATGAAGACTGATCCAGCATTAAAGAAATTCTCTCACGTGATATTAGACGAAATTCATGAACGTACCACAGAAAGTGACTTTATTATTACATTATTAAAACAAATTATTCCAAAAGTAAGTTTGAATACTTTTACATTGCCGTTACATAATGTTAATGTGAATTTATATTCTGTTTGCTTTTTATTGTGTTATTTTATTCAAAAATGTTAGATATACATAATTCTTATAACTTTTCTGTCAGTTCGATATTGTATAATTTTTGTAAAACATTTTATTTTATTCTTTATAAATTTATTCAAATATTTTCAAATTATGAAAACAATCCCTACATAGAATCTCACATGAATGCATATTGCACATGAATGATATTGTTAAATAGTAATATTAAAAATATTTAATAGAAACTAAGAGAAATGTATTTTTTAGAGAACAGACTTAAAAGTTCTTTGATGAGTGCAACATTAAATTCTGAACGTTTTTCAAGATATTATAACAAATGTCCAATGATACATATACCAGGATTTACCTTTCCAGTTCAAGAATTTTATTTAGAAGATATCGTGTCATTTACACAGTAGGTATTGACATAACATTGCCTGCGCTCGGGAATAACATCTGATGCATCGAAATGTCATTCTATCTTTGTTACTTATGGAAAATTAAAGACAGAATGACACTATGACGTGTCAGAGTGTCATTTTCGAACACAGTCATTATCTAATATATTTGATAAATTTTTGCAATAATTATCTATTAAATTTTTAATTAATTAAAAAGAAATATATATTATAAAATTTTAAGAAAAATGTACTAATATCCTAATCTTTCTTTAATTTATAGATTTCAATTTCCCGAACCACCTCCAGAACCTACAGGTTACAGAAAACATCTAAAAGGATATAAAGAACAACAACATAAGAAAGACGAATTTTTAGATATAGTACTACCTTACGTTAGACAACTTAGAATTGAGGTAAATATTCTAAATAGTGCGTGTGTGTTATATTATATAAATATAAAAATAATTTAAAATTGTGATATAAGAAATTATTGATATGTTAATACGGTTTACATTTAATTAGAGGAAATATGGAGAAAATGTTTATAATCAATTACGGAATTCGAATAGTGAAGAACTTTCATTGGATCTTATAGAAAGGTTAGTTAGGTATATCTGTTATATGAAAGATCCTGGAGCTATTCTTATTTTTTTACCTGGTATGATGGATATATCACAATTAAATAGAATGATGTTAGAATCTGGATGTTATCCAAGCAGTGAGTATTTATATTAATATAACACTATATAAATATATTTAGCATTTGTTTTATATCTGAATTCTTCTTTTCTTATAGACAAATACATTATCTATCCTCTTCATTCACGCATGCCGACAATTGATCAGAAACTTATATTTAAAGAACCGCCTGATGATATTCGTAAAATAATTATTGCAACTTCAATTGCTGAGACGTCAATAACTATAGAAGATGTAGTGTATGTAATAGATTGTGGGAAAACAAAGCTTGGAAGATTTGATGTAACAAACAACATTCAAACCTTAAAGCCTGAATGGGTATCTTTAGCTAATGCTAAACAAAGACGCGGTAGAGCCGGAAGGTGCGATGTTTTACTTTCTATATTTTATATTTTTAAGTTCGAAGAGAAATAATGTATTTTATCAAATTTCTATATTTGTAAAATTAAATATGTTTCATAGGGTTAAAAGTGGAGAATGTTATCACATGTATTGCAAAGCTCGAGAACTGACATTTGATCAATATCCATTACCAGAGATGTTGAGAACGCGCTTAGAAGAGGTAATTTTGCAAATAAAAATTCTCCAATTAGGAAAAGCCAAAGAGTTCCTAGCTAGTGTTATGGATCCGCCAGATCTAAAAGCCATCGATCTATCTCTCAGTTTACTTAGAACACTTAATGCTCTGGACGAAGACGAGCATTTGACTCCTTTGGGTTATCATTTGGCACACTTACCGCTTGATCCTAGAACAGGTAATTTTAATTTTACTATTGGTACAAAAACCATTCTTGTTACTATATTATATATAACACACACACACACACACATATATATATATATATAATTAAAAATAATATAATTAAATTATATATATAGCAGTGTAAATTTATAAATAATTTAAAAAATATTTTTAGGAAAAATGATTCTCTGGGCAGCATTGTTCTCATGCGTCGAACCAATATTTGCTATTGCTGCTAGTCTTACATTTAAAGATGCTTTTTATTGTCCATTGGGAAAAGAGGAAGAAGCTAATAAAAAAAAGCTAGAACTCAGTATGGGAGAGTACAGTGATCATATTGCTCTCGCGGAAGCTCTAAGAAGATTTGAAATTGCACGCCGAAAAGGAAATGCTGGCCAATTTTGCAGAGAATACTTTCTTTCTTACAACACATTGAAACTTCTTTCCGAAATGAAAACTCAATTTGCACAGTATTTATATGACATGAAATTTCTGAATAGTGATAATCCAGGTGATAGAAATGCTAATAGAAATTCAAATAACATAGCGTTGATAAAAGCTATTGTTTGCGCAGGATTATATCCTAATATCGCTGTTATAAGGTACAGAGTTATTTAATTTTTGATTTGTTTAAATTGTTTGAAATTTGATAATTTATATTACTGTATACTGATTCTAATTGTAATTACAACTACTAATATTAATTTATTGAACCATACATACATAATATTTTTATAAAGAAATATTTTTTTTTAGAAGATCTACTAAAAAGGGAATAATGTGTTGGACACCGGAAGATGGAAGCGTACGTGTGCATCCGTCGAGTGTAAATTTCAAAGCTTCCATTTTTCCTAGTCCATATTTGACGTATTTTATAAAGCAACGTTCCACCGCTATATATTTGCATGATACTACGTGTATAAGTGTTCCAATTTTATTATTTGGATCAAATATATCGATAAGTACGCTCATCTTTATTTAAATGTAAATCATTAATATATTAATCATGCATATTTGATTATATTCATTTATATTTCAGGACGAGAAAAAGGAAAATGTGCAATTATTAATTTTAATTTTTCTGAAAGTATTATTTGTGAACCACAAACTGCGGAAGTGATACTGGTATGTAGATATGTATGATCTTAGAAAAAGAAAATAATTTTAATACAATTTTTCGCAATACAGGAACTTCAACATGCTCTGAATTCTTTATTGGAATATAAAATTACGAATCCGGCAATAGTAAATTGGTCATCTTTTGAAGGACAAATGTTAAAGTAAATCTGCATATTATATATTATTTCGCATAAATAAGTATTAATGATTATGATAATGATTATTATATGCATTTAAATTTGTGTATTTATTATGTTATAGTGCAATCATTGAAGTAATATCCCAAAAGGATTACAATGACGAAGATTTTACTTATTATAGTTCCGATTGATAATTATATCGTGTTTATTAATTTATTCAAGTGTTAATATGTTGTGTAGTCAATTTTATGTTGTGCAGAAATACTAAAAAGGTAAACCACATTGAAAACTTTACATTATTCTAAAACATCTTTTTTTATTAATTTTGCGCAATAATATTTTTATTATTATTGCGCAAATATCATGTATTATAATAGAAAAAATAAATATTACAAATATTAAACACAAATTTATATTTAACGATATACAATATATATAATGATAATATTGAGATATTATCGAAAAGTTATCTGATAATTAAATCAAGGAATTCCGGTTATATTTTAGATTAGATATGAGATTCAATCTGTCTAATATTTGTAAAAACGAGAATTTACGCGCGTATAATCGTTTTTGATCAATATTCTTTTTGAAAAAATATTTTCTGATTTATACAAATTAAAATAATTTTTAAAATGCAGAGTTTGTAAAAATTTTTGTTTTAAGAATATAATAGAAATTGTTTCCGTACGAAAAAATATCCGAGATTTAAACAATATTAATTCAAAGCTTCTTTCTCTTTCCCCAATAGACAAAAAAATTCATTACGTTTAGTAATAATATATTGAAGATATAAGCAAGATTAATTAATCATTAGGGTGCATTTACTTGAATTTTTTCTAAAAATTAAAACTTGTTATATTAAGTAAAATATATATATATATATATAGCTTTCTAAGAAAGGGGGGAAAGAGAGAGAGTATGTATATAGTTTTCTAGATTTTTAAATTTATATTTAAGAAACAAATAAATATATACATATATATGTTAAATATAAATATGAATTTTATATATATATATATATATATATATATACGTTAAATTATAATTAAAACTTAATTATAAAAATCACAAAAAATATTCAAAGTAGAATGTGCACATTGTTTAGTATTGTTTTACTTGTTTTTGATGGTTTGAAATGCGCAGATGTGTGAGAAATACAAACTCAAACATACGAATTTCGGGAAAAAAATACATCAATTAAATATTTTGTATGCATAAATAACGTAGAGTAGAATATATTGTAGTCATGCATCTAAGCAATTGAGAGATAAATAATGGTTGTTACTCTTTTCTTTCTTTACCTAGATATGTAAAGTGACGATTTAGATTAAATCAATGAAGAGATCGTTTAGAGGAGGAGCCGACAACAATGTAACACAACGTACACGATTCTTCAAGCAACCATAATGCAACAGGACGCGAACTTTGACCCATTTATACTTCGCGCGATCGTCAATAAAATACTATATCTAGCCGCTGCTGCTTTGCACCGCTTTGTCATTCATGAATGTAAAACGTACTGCCACAACTTGGTTGCTTCAAGAGAAGGTGAAAATGAGTGTAAAGATACATTCCGATCATACTCTGTGTGTTGTGCGATTAAAATATGTTATAATCTATGCAAGATATATTGTAAATTTATATTTTAAATATACACACACATATATATATATATATATATGTATGTGTGTGAGAATATATCTCTTTAAACGTCACAATTCCGAAGCTGTTTTGTGAGTACTAAATATTCCATTATTCATGTATTAATGCTGCAAATTCTATATATATACGCCTGCTTTTTCTTTATCTAATCCACCGCTGCAATAATACAGAATGACTTCAGCAAATTATTATCTTTCTTTTTAACGAAAATGCATTCTTTGTTAGCACTCTGTCTAAAAGAATGCTCTCTTTCGATAATATTATTTAAAAAATATGAAACTAAAAATATTAAATAGTTGTAGAATTTATTCACGTTTCGAATATTTCGCTTTCGTATGTTTATGTGTGTGTGTTCTCGGTTAAAAAAAACCGCTCTAAGGACTGCATCTAAACATAGTACCATCAATTATTTTAATGTTGAACCTGGAAATAGCATTTTTTCGATTTTTTTCTTTTGTAAATTCGCAGCGAAATTTAAAAAATGAGTCTGATTGTGAGAGAATTTAAAGTTCGGCACGAGCTGATAACCGCGACGCGCGAGAGTGGCAAAAGGAGCGAAAGAGCGACAGGCGACAGCACGTGTGGTGGGGAGCGGTGGGGGAGGTGGGAGGGCGGCTGATACATGGAATACGGCGGGCAGCGTCTGACTCAGTCTACATCCGACGTTCGCGCGCGTCGTGACGCGAGCTGATCGCGCTCGCAGAACCGGAGTCTTCGGCCGCGGCAATCGAAACGAGAACGTGCAAGAAACGCACTCGACAGCGGTAATACGTGCGAATTGCAGTCTTATCGGACTTGACGGACATCTTGCGCGAGAAATTCGTGAGAAATCTGTCGGATCAAGACGCGAGATTAATCGCCAATTTTTTTCCCCCTTCGTCGTCGGACTTGAGAGAATCGAAAGTGAAGTAAGAGAATAAATCTCGAGGGACGGACGCGATCGACGAAACGAAAAAAAAAAAATAAAATTCATATCGGGAGAAGAGTGCGGTTATAAAAACAAGACGCGCGAAGTGATCCTCGAAAACGGGGGAGGGCGATATATCGAATATCGCGCGACGACGAGAGCATGACGTAGCAGCGAGAGTAAGAATATATATATATATATATATATATATCGCGAGATAAAAACCTCGGCGCGCCGAATTTTGTTCTCGCGAAAGGAACCGCCGAAATAAAAATTGGCCGAATTCTCCGATGACAGGCTAATATGCCATTAATCGGTTTGCGAAGCACGGGGATGTTTATGAAAGGGAGCAGGAGAGGGAACGTCGAGTGCAGGAAACTAGTAGACCAGTGTTGGACTTGCAGCGGCAACTTCACGACACTTCTTGCGACAGGTGTAAGTTATTAACGGCGCTGTCTTCTACCTCGCGCAGCGATAATAACTCGGTACGATTGTCATTATATCCCGAGCAAGTGCGCGTAGTTTCGTTCACATCCCGATCTAAAGAGACATACATTTTACGTGCGCGAGTATCGTCTTCGCGAATTCACTCCGCGGCCTGAAAATAGCCGGAGGAAAGAAAGAGGTACGTTTTTCTCTCTCTGTTATCTCTCTCTCTCGTGGTTTATTATTTCGTTTCTGTGCACTTTATTAAAGAACAACGGAAGAAACCCGCCGCGCATCTCGACGGATATACGACGAGGAGAGTCGCTCTCGTTTTTCCCCAGAAAGATTGTATCGGAAAATCGAATCGCGCGAGTGTATATAGAAATATATATATATATATACACACACATATATATATGTGTGTGTGCATGGGTGGTGCGTGCGCTCGCGTGCGAGAGAGCTTGTGTCGGTGAGAGCGGGTCAGTGAACGATTGCGCGCCGCCGCCGTCGTCGTCGCGAGAGCAACGCGAGAAGGAGAAGAGGAGAGTATCTTTCTTTCTCTCTCTCTTTCCCTCCTCTCGGACGCACGTATATATGCACACGTGCGAAAGCGAGGAGAGAAACGTGAAACGCGCGCGTGCGCCGGCTCGTGTGTATTCCTCGGCGCCCTATCGCACATACACATACATACATAAACACACATACGTGGAACCTCCTCGCGCCGGACGTCGCGAGTGCGCGCTCGCGCGCGATATATAGAACCTTACAGGTGCGCGAGTATGCGCGGACACGCGCGCGCGCGATAGAGACGACAGAGGAGCAGAGGAAGAAGAAGGAGAAGGAATCGGAGAGGAAAAGGGTAGAGTAGGAGGTAGAGGGCACACCGGAGGTGGAGGCAGAGGAAGAAGAAGAGAAGAAGCCAGTGACACCGGGAGGGTCGGTTGTTCCTGGTGTGTAAAACGGCCACCGGGATACACTTATATATCTGTGTGAGTGAACGCGCCGAGGAACCGCGTGTGTCGGAAGAAGATCCGCGGATATAAGGTTCTCTCTCTCTCGCGCCCACGAGGGAAAAGAAAAAAAAATACAAGGGGAAAACAAAAGTTCGGGCGAAAAGAAATGCGGGTTCGTTGACTGCGCCGTCGTCGCGCGATGGCCGCATGCTCGTGCCCGGTGCTGCTGGTGTATTATAGTGTGACAGGAGCGACGACGACGACGACGACGACGACGACGATCAGGGCGCGACCGGCGGTGTTCGTGACGACGACGACCTCGACGACAGAGGAGATGCCGGCTGCTCCGAGTTGCTCGCACGTCAAGTCGACGAAGAGCCAAGTCGAGGAGCAGTGAATCTACGCGAGTCTCGTCCGGCTCGTCTATTCGACGTCTCATCTTATCTCGTCGTCATCATCATTATCATCATCACCGACATCGGCGGACTGCGGGGTCGATGAGATTTACAAGGTATGTACTACGTGCCGTTTCGAGAATTTCGATCGTTCGATATCTCGATCGAGTCGAATTTGGGGCGGGAACTGAGAAAAGGAAGGATCGGGTGTCTTTTTCCTCGTTTTGTATATAGGATGAACGATTATATCCTTGACTCAGATCTGATGGTCACCTGGGTGGCAATCGTCGGTAGAATGATTCTTTGAAAAGAGAGAATAAAATTTGTTGTTGGCTGAAAAAAATATAAGTCTACAAAGTCGTAAGAAATAGTAAAAATTAGATTTTTATGGTTTTCTTCCGTATCTGTGCAGACGCAGATATTTATTGCAAGCAGAAACTATAAAAGACCCGACTGAGGAAGAACTATAAAAGACTGACCCGATACTTTTGTCGAGATGATTTCGCGATATTTTCTAATAAAATCAGTCGCGAAATTTTTCTCTCTTTTTCTTCTTTCTCACCCTCACTTTCTCTTTCCGAAAATGCAAATATAAAATTTATTATTGTAACAAATGAATATTTCATATTATGCTCACACGAATATTATAATATATGTAATAATTATTTTGTTCTGTCTCATTGTTTCAAAAAATCCATAAAATTACATTTTATTGTATGCTTCTGCTAAAAACAGATGTCTATTATAAATCTTGTATATTATATGTCTGACAATGAGTGTATTTTAATATATTATTCGATCGATTAAAAAATATATATGTACAGAGAAAATTTCCTCTTAGAATTTACTCCGAAAATCATGATAATCATGATAATAATCAATATGGTATTGGAAGCATTTTACGAGTTTCTCTAATTAATATTTACCATAATAAAAATATTAATATCTATCACAATAAGATATAAAATATGTTTGATTAATTTTACTATGTACATATTTTTATTTTTTTATTGTGATAAATATTAATTAGACAAACTCTTATAAAATTCTTTCAACACTAGGTATATTGTCTCACGATTACCATGATTTTCAGGGTAAATTCTAAGAAAAAATTCTCCGTATATATACAATATGTATATTTTAACAAGATAAAATGTTTGAAAATAGTAAAAACAAAGATCATTATGAATATTAATTTTTTATGAAATTCCACAAATTCTAACATGTAACATTTACACACACTGACTGCTGAAAAGAGCTTCTTATAACAAGGATTTATTGTATATACACTGACAAACGAGTTACAACTTGTAGAAATAAATGTCCTCACTTGCCTATGTCAAGCGAGTTACCAGTGCTACAACTTGCATCTCTCTCGTACCGTTAATATCTCTAGGATTATCATTTCCTCGCAGTGCAATGTAAAATCTATTACGCGACATTCAACGAGGCGGTCAAGGCTACGTTCGCTATTCTCCCATAGTACACCGACCTTCGTCGTCGTCATCACGAAAACGTTAGACTTAAGTCATCATGATAACAATTAAAGAACGATTAATGTAAGTCGCGCGCGCGTGTCGTAGTATTTTTTTTTCGTTTCCTGCGTCAAAGAGAAAAGACATCTTCCCTTGAACTCGTAATTTCGTACTGCTATCACTCGCTACGGTCAATTCACTTCGCGAATATCGCGAGTATATAACGTATCGTGACCTTTTGCCATTCAGACCCCCGACCATTGACGAGCAGACGTACATATATATTTCGCAATCTGTTTGTGCGCGCAAAGAATCCCATCCCCCTAAATACGACGGAGAAAAAGACACTTTTTTTACGTAAATCGTTACGTCTGCAATATTCAATGTTATTCTGCGAAACACAGTAATCTCGAACCTTGATCTTATCGTCGCGCGCGTTTCATCGCGTCCGTAATGACCGTCGACGACATGAGTTTCAAGTTACGAGAGAACAATTAGACGCGCCGACTTTAGCGTCGAAAGGAACAAATTGACTTTGGAACGATTCCAATAGCGCGAGTCGTACATTCTAATCGGATTCGGACAAATTTATATGCGATTTTTCTCACGTTCTCGCGCCCAAGTGCAAGGAAATTGTATAACAGCGTCTCGTACAGTTTATGATCTCTCGCGACGATTTTTTTAATTCTCTTCCGATCGTGAAATGATAAATCTTATGAAATAATGCGCGACTTCGTGCCAAGATTAATAAAATAATGATCAACGCATATTATACTACTGTGAACGAAGATTATTATATTGGATGAATATCGTACAGGATATATATTTTTACGAATAAAGAACAATACAATATTTAGATGATAATATCTACATGTAAAATTACGAGATTCTACTGCATGATATATTATTGCAGTTGCACTGACGCAATATTTTATATAGTAAAATGTGTTTAGGAAAAATAAAATTATTCGATAAAACTTTGTATCATCTTTTTCATGTTTTATATATAGGAACAATGTTGTACAAATATCGTAAATATAGCATAATTTTATTATAAATTTTGATTTAGATTAACTAATTACAGATATAGTACATATAGATAGTACAGATAATATAAATATACATATATATAATACACAAAATTTAAATTTTCAATTTAATTATTGTATCTTTTCTCAGTTTTATTTATTATATGAAATCGCATCTATGTTTGAATATCAATTTTGTGATAACGAAATATGTGTTTATATTCATAGAAATTTTCTCATATGATATTGTGTGATAATCAGGCCATCGCATGCAATGAATCGAAAAGTAATTACGTCGCAAAGAAAATCGGAGATGATTGGTCAAGCTTTTAATTGAATCACGCTCTCACTTGTGACGATTAATTGCCGAACAAGAAACTATTAGCAGATTAGAAACACTTGTGTCAAAATCTTGATTAGCATACTTACGAGTTTGCACACGTCATTTATCCGTAACTAATACTTAACAGTTGGTGTGCGAAAATTGGCACGATGTGCAAATGTAAGATGAGTTCTTACGAGTGATATGTAAAACGGCGCAAATCAATGTGACATCGTGTCCTATTTTTCAAGTAATCTTTCCTTAGTCAATTAGTACAAATGTCGTAGTAAATTAATTGTCAATCAATATATTGTGCTCTATCAGAGAATATAAATATATTTGATATAATGCAATATAATAAATTTTTAATAATGTGTTTTTAAACGCAAGATTTGATTAAGGATGCAAATGGAATTTAAATATATTTAATTTTTTTATTTTTCTGTAATCTAGTTACAATAGTTGTGTTCGGAAAGAATAAAAATGAGAAAGCTTTATTTAAATATTCTTTCTAAAATCTAGAATATGCTTTTAAAGATTATTTCATTGTTTCAGAACAGAATTGAACATATATATTTATAAGCATTATTAAAATCTAATATATAAATCATGGATCTTTATTCGCGTTATCTTGATGGAAGTAATTCATTATTTAAATGTATAATATACATATATGAATCTTCAAAAATATATAATACATTTTTATTTAATTTATTTCTATTTCTAAATGTACAAAGTGTTTAAAGTATTATTGAATTATTTATGATAAAATTTGGATAAATATAATTTGTTTAACGTGAATATCTATATTCAAATTCTCATATTTGTAATATCTGTTATATTAAATGATTTATACTATATAATTAAATTGAAGACAAATTATATTGACACAAAACTAATAAGTTATATTTGCAGAATAATTTTTTTTTAAATCATTTTATTGACAAGAGAGAAAAGAGGAGAGGAGAAAGAGAGAGAAAGAGAATATTTTTAATGTTATTTGCATATAATATTTTAACATTTTCTAATTGAGAGAGAATCACATATAAGCAAATTTTTGACAATAAATATTACGAAGCAAACTGTGGAAATATAAGGAAAATTAATATTAAGGAAAATGAATAACATTGGCGAATAAATTGTACTTGTAATAATTATGTGTCACACAATTATACAAATACATAAGATTATATTCGTTATAAATGAAATATAATGTACCCATTCCATTTTATGTTCCAGAAGAAGTGTCCATCCAGAAGAAACGAAGAGAGATATCGATTCTTGAAGAAAAATTGAGAAAAATATTTCTTGATCTATGTGCGAAACTTTGCAATCCGTATTCTTTCGCGCGTATTTGTTCTTTCAAAAGTCGACAAACTATCACACTGCTCCTTTAATATATCCACGGAATCCAACGCGTGCAGTGTAACACATTGTACAACGGGCTTAAAGTTCTGATCTCCAAAGACCGATTGGTTCTGTCAGAGACATCGCAAGAGCTTTCTCGATTCCACCGAGAAAAGAGGCTTTTCTCAAGAAGATTATCACGATTCGACGAGACGATTGCGTGGACGTTCACTGTGTCCAGAATCCCGTGATCCATGCTCCTCGATCAAACTCAGTCGTCGCGCTTTTAGATCGATCGACTCTGCTGGAAGAAACATCACGAGGAATTGCACACCTCATAGTCGTCCTTCGTAGACTCCGTAAGATCGAGCTGCGATAACCAGCACAATCAAGATTCGATCACGATCGCTGAATCATCCACCTTCTGGATTCCGCTCGGTATCTGCGTTCTTTCCCGAGAAGAGAGACTTCACGATCGTTCATTCGCCGCGTGAGATCGTTATCGGCCACGGGTTTCGGGTAAATCGCTCTATTACCGTATTACGCGATATACTGCACAACGTCTGCTAACGTCGGCGTCGAGTGCGCGTTTTTTTTGCCGAAACTAGCGGACTCGTTTCGATCGTCGATGAACGTGATTCGGTGCCGGGAAAGTGAGGCTCTAATTAACTCGTGTGTGGCGGCCACGTTGTCTACGTGCCACATTGCCTGAGCGGCGGATCGTCCATTTAGGAGACCGAACCGAAGAGGCGGCCAGCTGTTAATCGGCAGCCACCGCGGTGGACATGATTATTTCAAAGGATCTCTTCCTCCTTGGCGACCAGGATTATCTGCGCCTTCCCGTTAACGAGAAGCGCCAGCAACGGGCAATGGGCCGGCCGATCATCAATGCTCCCAGGTAGGAACCACCAATCATTTTTACCCCGATTTCCATTTCAACACTCGAAAGGCTCCAAATTTAAAAAATCAAAAAAGAATTCCAGCGATATTTTTCAATTCTCGGGTAGAAATGTTCAAAGTATCTTGAGTTAAAAATTTCATATTTTTCTTTCAATTTAAGATAGCGCTTCTTACAAGAAAATTTTATCGAAAAATATTAAGTGTGACTAATCGAATATGATTCATCGATTCTTGTATGACATGAAACATTTATTATTAATTTTCCTCGTTTTACTAAATGACAAAAATGACGACAATATTCTTAAAAAATAATCTTCATTTTTATAGTTCATTTTATAGTCAATCACTAGAATTCTTTTTTAAATGTATCAAAAGGACTCTAAAATTCTTTTTGCAAAAGAGAGAGTTCTATAAGTTGTATTAAATTTTTAATAAAAATAGAATTTTACGAGTATTTTTATATTGTATGTCTTCAACGTACCGTGCGATTTTTCGAAGCACTATATTTAATAAAAGAAGAATATATATATATATATATATATATATATACACTAGTTATAAAATATACAATCTGATATCAATGAAAAATAAGCAGTTGAAAGTTAAATTAATTGAACGGTGAGTAATTGAACGATTTTACATTATTTTTCTCAAACTCTAATTCATTAAATAATCTGCCCGATTGGACCCAGGGTAGATAACCCCCAGGGCTCCGGATGGCACGTTCAATGCATAAGAGATATATGATTTAATAAGTTTTCGCTAAAAATATCGCAACTTTAAGTCATCTAAAAATAAATCAGAATTTGCCTGTGCATAAAATGGCATTTTTTTGCAATTGACAGTCTTAGTGCATTAGGAAAGCAAGTTTATCGTACAAATAGAGTAATTCGTGTACACAGCGCTCAGTTATTCGTTCGCGAAATGACCATTGATTGAATTTTCTATTAGGCGGTTTCTTTTCGTTCGCGCGCAAAAGAGAATCGGCAAGTAGTAGAAGCGTTGAACATCTCAAGCGTACATATACGAGATGCGTTAAAAACACAATGTGTTTGCACGATGTGTCGAGATCGGGAGATTTATGCCGCAACTAATCAATTCGTCGCGCTATTATGAGCTTCGTGATTTTTTACAAGAAAAGTGTGCTGATCTACGCGCGTCGAACCGTTTCGTCGCTCCGTTTCCTCCTTCCATCGATATTTGAATGTTGTTACCGATAACAGTGACTGGCGCGAGTCTTATCGCAGCCGCACGCTATACTTGGGGAATCAATGATACGCGCCAATCGCGCGTGTATAAATAATACATCGTACGATTTTTATCATACCGAACGAAATCTGATCCATCCATCAATGGATCTTCCGCGAAATTCGCGCAAGATAATACACACGTTATCTGAGAAATATTATTGTCCGTCCCATTGAACGATATTTTTATATCGCGAAACACGTGCGAGACACATTAAATTTGCATTTCGAATATGTAAACAGTATAGTAAGTGCAACGTTGCTCCGTAATCCTCTTTCATATTTAACTTTTGCATTCGTGAATTATTCATAATTGCAACGTAAAATTTTATTCGGAAGCTACCATATGATTATCATAATGATATTTAATTATTCATGTATTTGGAAGATACAATAATGAATTATAATTACACTTAATTGTACTATATTTATACGTTTGCATCGGAAAGGAAAAATAACTAATTCCTCCACAGAAAGAAAAATTAACTACCAAAGCTAAATTTTAGCTGCCCCTATATTACACATAAAATTTAATTATGCCCAAAATTTTAGCTATATGATAGCTAATATTTTTTAGCTAAAGAATTCTCCGTTAAACTATAGCTAAAAATATTAATTGTTATAACTCAAATTTAGGCATAATAACTAAATTTGTAATATAAGGAGAAGCTAAAATTTAATTATGGTGGCTAAGTTTTTTTTCCGTGTCATTTTACCTCTCGACAAATTTGGATGACACTGCGAAAAAGTGGATTTCGAAGATTTCCTTTCTTTTATATTTGCACCGAGAAAGAGAGAGAAGCGCACACGCGCGAGGATTCATGACGCTGCTCGTCTCTCGTGTCGGCGAAAATGATGTCGCGGAGCGAAAATAGGGAGACATTCCCTTGCGCGATGCGTGCAAACGACGGGGCCGCTCTTATTTACTTGTAACCTAGAAACGTTCGCGATCGAAAGAAAAATCGGTAGTTTCTCCCGCGAAGAAAAATCGAGTCTTCCGCCTGGAGATGAAACTGTTCCAGTTTCCCATGCGTGACCCACTGTTAGGGATTCTCAAGCGTCTCTCTCGCGATATACTGCTCTCTATGCACAATCTCAATCGCGCACATTCGCCGGCCTCTCGAACCGGCAGGTCCCTCCCTTCGTCCGAGACAGGCGTTTTCTTATTTCGCTTGTGCCGATTTTCTAATCGCGGCTTGTTTGCGTTGGGCTGCACTCTCCAATGTTTCTTACATCTAGCCGATCATTTCTTCTGGATTAAGAGATTTTTTTTTAATTAAGAAATCAAGAGACACGGTAGTGTCTCGCGACCAGTTAAGGGCGTAGCCGAGACACCGTGTATCTTAACGCGAGTCGGACATTTGAGTCTTTATAATATTTCGAATTCTCAATAACGGCTGAAGCAATCGAGTTTATACTAGACTTAATCGATAGATTGAGTTTGAATTATATAATAAAAGTGTCTTTATTTCTGCTCTACGTGATTTGTAAGCAGAGATATATAATTGCAAAGTCGAAATATGAAAAATTTCTTTTAAGAAACGTCCCCGTCATCATCATCATCGACCACGCAAACATAGTAGTATCGTGCTACACGTATTCACACGTATACAACACAAACGCACACATATATCACACGTACACAACACATGAATAGATGCATGTATTGGAAATGTCCATCTCGCACGTTTTACAACAGACGGCGATAGTTGCCCTCCGCTATATTGACAGCGTGCGGGGTTAGATATTTTCAATTTTCAATTTCAATTTTTACATTCAATTTTAATGTTATTATTTGCAAATTTATTGTCATAATAATTTATGTGCAAGTTTACAGTCTGTGATACAAAATCAGATATTTTGCTATTATTTCAATAATATTTCAATTATATAAATGCCTATGTATGAGTATGCATATATTTTTAATAATTTTCTTAATTAGCTTCTATATTTTTTTCAGTTGTACATCAAGCAGGTAGCATTATCAGCTCACTTGTGAGCATGGGTTGGGCAATGGCTAGTTATCATCGCAGCATTCGATTAGCTTAACAAGATAAATCTAATATCAGTGCTATAGGAACTATTTTACAATTTTTCTGGCATTTTCTTATTGCAGGTACATATATATCCAATAATTAATATACAAAATTAAATATTATTCATCACACACTTTGTATCAAAATAATATATTTTTTAAAATTTATTTAATCATTTTTATCATTGTGATTGTAGTGGCAAGGATCTTATTGCTCAGTGTCATTGCAAGCATCTGGCCTGTATATACCATAATATATTGCGTAATACATTGGCTAAGTATGACAATATAGATTTTGATAGATTCCCATGGAATATTGGAATTTTGTCGGACTTACAGTCATCCACCACATATGCAGCCTACAATTAAAGAACGCATTTATTCCATATGATTTGCTTCCGTTATTGGAATATTTAAAATAAAAATTTTATTAATAAATTTCGATGAAATAATTTATAAGAGGTTGAAGAAACTATGAAACAAATTCAGTCTCATAAAAGGGTAGTTGGAACAATAGTGGTGAATGCAGAAGGTATTACATGAGATCATTGACATGATTCACTTGTAGTTGTAAACAAAAATTTATAAAATTATATCTGTTTTAGGTATTCCTATAAAGTCAACATTAGATAATACGACAACAGTTCAATACGCAGGTTTGATAAGTCAATTGTCAGATAAAGCTCGTTCTGTCGTACGTGACTTGAATCCAACAAATGATTTAACTTTCTTGCGCATACGTAGCAAAAAACATAAAATTATGATGGCACCAGATAAAGAATTCATATTAATAGTAGTACAAAATCCAGTTGATTGATATTTAAAAGATACAAAAATATATTTCAAAGTTAAGATTTATTTCTTTGGTTGTTAATTTAATCTGTATGCTACATTGTGGATGTTAATATCTATTCAATTAAATAAAGAAAAATAAAAGAATAAAGCTTAAAAATTATACAAAATGCAGTATTTAATTACTAATTTAACAAATTATGAACTTTTAGAGTTTTTAAATAGTGCTTTCTTCTTTGGTAACAATATTATATTTTTAAGTTTGATAATTATGAAAATATGTATATATAGTAATTCATGGCATGTTTATTTTTGTATTTAATACAATTATAAATGTACATTTCTCATCAATAAAATATCACAGTATCTTTTTTATAATTTAATTTTAATATTGAGATTGTTTTTATTCAGTGGAAAAAAAATGTGTAGTTGGTCCCTATTAATTATACATACATATAAGAGTGTCGCATAAATAATTCTATGCAGTCTTTTTAAGATAATATAAAAATACTTATAAATATAATCAATTAAAATACATATAATCAAAATTGTATGTATTAAAATTCAATAGCATATAAAAAAGATTTTTTGAAATTATATATATATAATAAAAATCCAACATATATATATATATATATATATATATATATATATAAATATATATTTATTTATTGTATATCATAAATATATATTTATTTATTTATATTTACCTATCTTTTTTTTATATATATGGTAGAAATACAATGTGAGTTATTTTATTTTGCAAAATTTTTGAAAGTTAAACTATGAAATTATTTCATATAATACCGAGATTCTTTTCATAATAAAGATTAAGAGAGAGTTAGATTTTATCATAAGATTTAAAAAAGTCATAAGATAAGGTTAATTGCATATTGTATAATTTATCTCTCATTTTTTAAAGTA